ATAGAAGTTGATTTTTTCCAGCAAAAAAAAATCAACTTATATCCTTATGGGCATGTTCTAGGAGCCCATTAATTCTCCCAAGACCCTATGGAAGCAGCAGAGACCTCTAAAAATCCCAAGAGGGAGGTGTTTGTTGGAAAGAGAAATACTGTTCTGGGAGGTTTCCAGAAAAGATGGTTTGCTCCCCAAAAAGCCTGGTCATAGGGGGTGCCATGGCTGAGCAAGTCTTCTCTGAGGAGTTGAATGGGCGAAAGCTCTGAGCCAGAGGCGCTTCTTTCCCATCCCCATCCAGAGCCCCTTTTGTCCCCATAAGCTCTTGAGGCACAGAATTAGTGGCGCCTTGAAGCGCAGAGATCACAAGGTTATCTCTGAAATGTGTCACATGAGAACCAAGGAGGGGAGAACATTCTTCCTTCCCGGCAGAAGAGCCTTTCTTGGGGATGCATCCACAGTGGGGAATAATCCTCTCTTGCAGAGAAGCCGGCAGCAGTCAGGACCAAGAGTTGGGACCCTCCTGGGATTGTGGTTGCGTCTCTTAAAAGCATCCACTGAGAGTGTAACGGCCGCTTTAGCCGCATGCCGGCCTTTGCTGTTCCCGACCTCGTTCGTTCCCACGAGAGATGTGTTTATTTGATTGTGAGCGAGCAAGCACACATTGTTCACATTCTGGGCTGCGTTCTGTGCAGCTTTTGCTTGATGCTTAGTCAGAGGAGTGAAGGCAGCATCAGGCTCCCAAATTCCAAGCAGGAATTGGCTGCAATTCCAACCCTGGCCTAGAATTCATTTGGAACCAAACACCGGCTCTTCTTCCTCAGAGTTTGCTTTCCCTGCTTGGGATCCTGGCATCTTGCGCAGGACTCTTCCCTTCCTTCCTTTCCTTCTTCCAGATGCCTCTTCCATTTAATCCTCCCTGCTGGACCACCTAAAAGTGCTCCAGAACCCGGCTGCATTGTTGCATCCCCACGGAGCCATGCTCTCACTCCGTCTCCCTTTCCCTCTCGCTTTGCAGGCTGCAGAAGGCGCAGGAGGAGCACCGCACGGTGGAGGTGGAGAAGGTCTCCCTGGAGAAGCGGCTCCAGGACGAGATCAGCATGGCCAAGCAGGAGGCCCACCGGCTACGGGAGCTGCGCGAGGGCACTGAGAACGAGCTCAGCCGCCAGAAGTATGCCGAGCAGGAGCTGGAGCAGGTACCCACCCCATCAGGACCAAGACCTGTTGCTCTTTGGCCTTGGCTGCCCAGCTCTGTTCTCCCTCCACCAGCCTGGAGGTCTGGGCCTGACCTGCTACCATCTTAAAATCCATCAACACCGACTTTCTGTAGGAATGATTTATCTCTGTAGCAGGGTGGGTTGCAGCATAGCCAGTTTATGTATGAGCTTATTTATTTATTTATTTATTTCGAACATTTTTACCCCGCCTTCTCAACCCCTGGGGGGACTCAGGGCGGCTTACAATTGGCAATAATTCAATGTCGCATCATAAAATACAGAATAACAAATATAAAAGTATAGGTAAGGGTAAAGGTTGTCCCCTGACATTAAGTCCAGTCATGTCTGACTCTGGGGTGTGGTGCTCATCTCCATTTCTAAGCCGAAGAGCCGGCGTTGTCCGTAGACACCTCCAAGGTCATGTGGCCGGCATGACTGCATGGAGCGCCGTTATACATGTATACAATAATACATGAACATTAATAAATAAAGATTAAAACAGTATACTTACACTCTGATTAGCTATTGCCCGTCTGGTGGCTGTTTAGCTAGCCATCTACTAATGATTACTCCACTTAACTTATCTAAATCCTCTTCCATGCCATAGTCAACATTATCAATTGTCCTTTAACCTGATTGCCCGAAGGCCTGGTCCCACAGCCACATTTTAACCTTTTTTCTAAAGGTGAGGAGGGATGACGATGACCTAATTTCCCCGGGGAGCAAATTCCACAGGTGGGGGGGCCACCACCGAGAAGGCCTGTCCCTTATGGGTAGGCTCAGGAGAGAAAATACACACGAGGCTCTGGTCAGGTTTAAAAAGAGGGTAGCATCATTGAATCATTGTTGGAAGGGACCATATGGGCCATTTAGTCCAGTGGTTCTCAACCTGTGGGTCTCTACAACTCCCAGAAATCCCAGCCAGTTTACCAGCTGTTAAGATTCCTGACAGTTGAAGGCCAAAACATAATGAAGCCCTCCCAACAGATGGCCTTCCAGTCTCTGTTTAAAAGCCTCCAAGGAAGGAGTTTTCACCACACTCTGAAAGGAGAATTGAATATACGAACGGACATCCTAAGGAGGACTGAGAGTTGAAATGGGAAGGGCTTATAAGCAGAGTAAAAGGGAAAGAAAAATACTGTATAAGGAACTGAATAAAAAAAATAATACAAAGAGTAGAGGCACAACAATTCCCAGGGGAGGGAGGAAGAGGGAAGGGGAAAAATCCGATATGTAGAAGCAATAGATAATATAGAAATGTAAAGAAATCATCAAAATATTATGAGAATATATGGGAATAATTTATTTTGTGAAGGTGACTGTGACAATGGGTTTTGAGTTTTCCGGGCTGTATGGCCGTGTTCCAGAAGCAGCCTCTTTGAAGTCCAAAACACCTGGAGGGCCAAAGTTGACCCATGCCTGTGTTAAACCAGATCTTAGTGATTAGATTGAGGCTGGAAGTGAGAGGCAGGCATTTGGGAGGCATCTGGATCCACTTGTGGTGCCCTTGTAGGCCTGGATTCAGCTCCAGTTCCTTTGGCCAGTAGTCCCTCTTGCCCTGGGCTGGAGGCTGTTCACTCTCCCTTCCCTGCAGGATTGTGGTCTCTTCCAATTCTATGTCTCTTCCATTCGTCTCCTTGACGAATGCACCGGGGATGTCGAGGAGGAGGACAA